TCTTTATCGTGTGTGTGTGTGTGTGTGTGTGTGTGTGTGTGTGTGTGTGTGTAAAATCTATCATTGGGCCAATTGTGGTGGCTCATGCCTTTAATCCCAGCGCTTTGAGAGCCCAAGGTGAAAGGATTGCTTGAGCTCAGGAGTTCAAGCCTAGACAACATAGCGAGACCTCATCTCCACAAAAAAAATAATAATAATAAATTAGCTGGGCATGGTGGTGCACACCTGTAGTCCCAGCTACTCAGGAGGCTGAGGTATAAGGATCACCTGAGCCCAGTAGATCGGCTGCAATGAGTCTTGATCATGCCACTGCACTCCAGCCTAGGCTACTGAATGGAACTCCAACTCAAAAAGAAAAAAATCTATCATAGATGTTTTCCATGTCAATAGCTATGTATTTTTATGGCATATTTAATATCCAAAACTGTATTTTAAATGGCATTGTACATAACCATATGATCCTTGCCCACAAAGTTTGTTTGCTTTTAAAATTTCTGTTATAGATCGGGCTCAGTGGCTCAGCCTGTAATCCTAGTACTTTGGGTGGCCCAGGCGAGTGGATTGCCTGAGCCTGTGGGTTCGAGACCCGCCTGGGCAGCTTGGCAAGCCCTCATCTCTACAGTAATTAAAAAATTAGCCAGGCATGGTAGTGCGTGCCTGTAGTTTCGGCTACTTGGAAGGCTGAGGCAGAAGGATCACTGGAGTCCAGCAGGTTGAGGCTGCAGTGGCTGGGAGCGACCACTGCACTCCAGTCTGGGTGACAGAGTGAGCCTCCAACTAAAAAAAAAAAAATTTCTGTTATAGACTCTTCTGATATCTGATTGCGTTTTGCAGATCAAATTTTTTTTCTACTCCTTCTTTGAACTTAAAATTTAATGAAACTTCAGAGAGTTAGAAGGACATAAAGGACCTTCTTGCCACCCCACTCTTACCCCTGAGCCTCCACCTGTGAGATGGGCATGTGTGTGGACACGTGATCCTTTGATTTTCTCATTGCTTCCTGTCTCCTGCTCCTCTTGAGCCTTTGGTTTCTCATTCTCAAGACACATCAGTGGGAATGTCATTTCTCTGAATGACATGCTCCCCATGTTAGGAGTGAATAGGTCTTCACCAAGGCAGGAGGAGAGACTGGAGGGGAAGGACCAGGTCCCCACACAGAGCCATATGAGAAGCGGTCTGTGAGCCCATGCCCCTCTCTTGCTTAGTATCCACCAGGTTGCTCTGGGCCTTCCAGGATCCCCACGCTCAAGTCTCCTGCCTCCCCTCAGCTCCTGGTAGCTGTGCTCCTCACCAACTGCTCAGCCTTGGCGACCTCACTGCGTCTATGTGTTTGTCCACCCCACCCAACTGTTTGAGGCCGCTTCTTTGTACTTCCCACAGTAGTTGGCCCATTGTAGACTCGCAGGAGAGAGTCATTGTTTGCTTTGTCTCTGCAGTTTCTTCAGCTGGAATCTTTGTCCACTGTGGGTCATTTTCTTAGCAAAAGATAAAACCACAGCTTCCTTGTATTCTCAGCACTTAAAGATTTTTGTTTCTTCAGTAGCTCTTCCCTTCCCAGAATTCTTTGTAAGAAATGTTCTGACACCCAGTGCTTGTCTCTTTTGCACAGGGAACCCCTCACTTGGTCCGTTATAGTCCATGAGCCCCACTCTAGGGAAACCAGGGTTGCACTATCTGGCTCACCCTACCTGCCCACCCTAATAACCCACACTCTCACTCACTCTGAGCTCATTCAGGACTTGGGGGCAACCTCAGATTTTTTTGTTCTGATGTTGCACCAACTTCCCCGATTGTGGTACCTTGTGGATGCTCACTAAGGAGTGAAATATCACATAGACCTGACACAGAAGCCATGGACTGGGAGGGCATGGGCTCCAGTAGCTGTGGCTTGACCTAGTCTCAGGCATGGTTTTTGTTTGGGAGCAGGGTCAAGCAGGTGGAATTCCCCAGGGTGGTATCCTTGGCTTCCTGCCATCACTTCCTTTCATCCCTTTGCTGGACGCTGTGAGATCTTTTACCTTGGGCTGTGTGTTTATACTGTGTGCCAGGCCAGGGGGTCTGGTGCTGAACACGGAGGACCAAGTTATGGAGCCTCTGGTCTAGCACAGTAGTTCTCAGCCCTGGCTATATTTTTTTTAAAGCTGCAGTATTTGTGCCAATGCCATATCCAGAAAACAGGTTACCGTATACTGAGCACTTTGTGGCAAGTATCATCTAAGCTCTTTTTGCAAGTTGTCTATGTCGAGTTGAACCCTCTCGCAGTAACTTTGGGAATTAGGTAAAATGAGTCCTGGCTCACTGACTAGGAATCTTAGGCACAGAGAGGCCCACTTGTCAACAGGCACACGGCTCACAGATGGAGAACTCAGATTTATAGCAGGCCAGCAGACTTCCAAGCCAGCATCTTAGCCCTGTGCCGTGCCATTGACCGGTCTCCTACTTCTTGGACCCATATTCCCAGCCACCTTCCTGGACACCTCCTCCTGGGTATCCCTCAGGCACTTGAGTGTCTGGGATTTTAATTTCTCTCTTCTTATCTGAGCCACATCAGGAAGAGGCAACTAATCTCTTCTTGAAGCACTTATGTGCCCTAATGGTTGTAGGCTGTCTGTAAAGAAAAATGCCATCACAACCTTTAGATCTGGCATTCAACACTCTATATGGGCCGGCCCCTGCCCATTGGTCCAACCTCCCTGTGACACTGCTTGCCTTGGACTCAGCACACTGATTTTCTTGCCATCTCCCAAATATGCCATGCTTACCCTTAGCACTTTGCCTTGCCCATGTCCTCCTCTGCCGGAGTGCCCTTTTCTCCCACAGGTCTACCTAGTAAGTCTCTGCACAAGCCTCAAGACAGCTCTTCAACATCACTTCTTAGAATACCTCTGAGCACCCTGTTTAACTGGCTGCTGCCTCCTTAAGCTCCCTCAGCTCGAGTGTCTTCTACAGCATGTAACCCCTCTTCCTAGAATTGTCAGCCCCCAAAGACCATGAGCCTTCTGGAAGTAGAGACCCCCTTTAATACTTAAGTTCACAGCAATGGGCATGGGAGCACAGGCCTCAGCACCAAGTAGGCACTTGGTGAAGATTGTCATGGAGACCTTGTGTAGGCCTGTCTGCCACCTGTTGTCCTTCTATTTGGATGGCTGCACAGCCAGAGCAGATTTGTATGGCTTTTTGACTCTACCGTTGGCCCCAAAGAATGCAAAGTATTCACGAAGTATTACCAAGCATATTAACAGGATGGAAGAGCAAATCAGAGAGCAATTCAGGCCAGGTAGTGAGTCAAATTCCTGAGGACAATAGCTTCCAGTTGCATGTGGATTCACTAAGATCAAAATACAGGTTGCCAATTTTTACAATAATGCTGGTAAAATAAAATAAAATAAAATAAAATAAAAATTAAACTTGATCCCAGTAAATGGGACCCATTAAAATGTAGACCTGCAGATTTGGAACTGGGAAAACTGCACTGTTAGATATAATGCTTACCAATGAAAACTCGAAAGGCAGAAGCTATTACCAGGAAGCTTAGGGTAGAACAAAAAATAATGAGTCAAGTCCTCACCTAATATTTATATAGGAAAGAAGGAATTCAACGAAAACAACTATAGCAAAATGGAAACAAAATAATCAAGAACAATGTAACTGTTTAGAGTAGAAATTAATCAAGGGATTAATGTGGCCTAATGGTGTTTCCTCAGGAAAGTTCTTGGTCAATAAATATTCCTTAGTGTTGGCATAATGCTGAACACAGAGTCCACATGTTGTTGGTAGCAAAATGTCCTGTCCATGTGTGTGTGGTTGCTGCTTTCAAATGACTATCTCCACTCTGAGTGTCAGAGCTGATAGAACCCCCAGCCCACCACTGACTCCTTTCATCTTTCCTACAGGGGGCCGTGCCCAAAGGAAATGCCACTAAAGAATTCATCGAGAGTTTACAGTTGAAGCCTGGGCAGGTGGTGTACAAGTGTCCTAAGTGCTGCAGCATCAAGCCCGACCGAGCCCACCACTGCAGGTACACTCGCTGGGACTCCCCTCCTCTCTTCCGCATTGACCTGCCTCCTTCCACCACCCCTCCCACACTCACCCCTGGAGTAGTGCACACTTCTCCCACAGGTATCAAATCAGCAACATGACTTCTGAATGTCCCCTGCTCTGGGCACAGAGTGACCATTGTGAGTCTTCCTCCTGGCTCTGGTGAGCCCACTAGACTGGAAAGGGTGTTTGGTTTTGTTTCAGGACACCTGTCCCAGGACTTAGCTCTGCCACACCTGACATAGGACCTGGGCAGGACCTTGGGCATTTGCTCCTTTGTTTTGATATATGTAAAATTGAGGGTATTCCTACTTTTCCTACCTCACAGCTTTATGATAAGGGTACCTTGAGACAAAGCTTTAGAACATCATTTTATGAACATCTAGTACTTGAAATGAAGGGGTTTTCCTTGAATCAAGACTTTCTTTTGAAACAAAACTTCCAGAGGTTATGACAGTTTTGTAGAATTCAACCCAAAAAGTCATTTCTGCCTCTTCTCTGTAGTCAGTTTTCCCATTTTGTTTTCAGGTTTCTTTGTTGTTTTGAGTCTTCTTTATAAAAAGACTTCTAGCTAAAATGTATACTTTATCATTATGGTGGAACTTTAATGGGGCACTGGGCCTGGGAAACCTGGGATGCAGAGAAATGCCTCCATTTAGGGTATTTGGTCCCCTTTTCAGGCCAGTATGTTCAGGATGGGGAGGGGTTGTGGAGGAAAGAACTTGCCCCTGGTGTTGGAGGTCTTCCTTCTCCATCCAAGGCTGTGGACACCTTAGGGTGTGGGAGAGATCTGAGTAGCTCCAAGGCCTGGGCTCACTGCCTGCCTTTCGAGGAGATTGGTCAGTCCCAGCATTCAGGATCCATAGTCAGCTCCTCAGTACCTCTGCATCCCAGGACCTCAGCCCACCTTGTCCCACCATCAGTCTCTTGTTTTCATCTTCCTGGTCAACCCTCAGAAATCAGTATTGTTGTGGGAATGACCTTTCTAGATGAGAAAATTAAGGTTCAGAGGGGTTAAGTGACTGCTCTAGGGTTATATAGCCAATGAGTACTAGAGACAGGATTGGGTCCTGGTGGTTCTGACTCCAAGTCCAGATAGGGCTCTTTCCACTAGAACTCCAGTTTGGGGTAACTCGTGTAACTTTATGTAATTGTGTGTTTTTCTGTCTCTGAAAGAGAGAGATCTGAAGACCTCCTCAACTGGTTGCCACCTGCTTGAGAGCAAGGGCTGAGGAGCTTGGACAGGGGCCTGTGAAGATTGCTGACACCTGTGGGTTTTCTCTCTGGGTCAGCTTGCTTCTGAGATCTAATTCAAGACTTACTTCATGTGCCTGAGGTGGTGGTGTTAGTCTAGTCTCTTCCTGCTACTCAGACTCAAGAGCCAACTGTTTTCTAAGCGTCACCCAGATAAAAAGGCCCAGTTTGCTTAAGTGGTTCCTCAGGGTAGCCCAGTGTGGTGGAGCAGGCTCAGACCTTGGAGTTGAAGAGGTTGGTGTTGGAAGTCTGACGCTGTCCCTTGCCACACTGTGAGACCTTAGGCCAGATATTGTTTGCAAGCCTCAGCGTTCACTTCTATAAAAAGGGTTGTTCCTCCCTAGCTTATTGTGGGGATTACATAGAAGTAACTGAATCACCAAGCTCAACAAGTGGAAGGTACTTGTTAACAGGAGAACATGTGAGGAGTTAGGGATGTGCTGGCTTAAGAAAGACTAGACCAGAGCCAGGGAGGTGTTAATTTTGTAGAAAAGCACTTTGTAGAACCCACAGTAGTTCTTTTCTCTCCCCACCCTGAGCCCTCAGCTGCCTCCACTGCCTGGCATTTTCCTCACCGCCTCCTCCTTGCCTCTCTCCCCAGAATGATCCAGGGGAGATATTCTTGTGTGCTAGTAAACAAATCAGCTTGGGCAAAACAAGAGCTGTTGATTCAGATGAACTCAAGTGAGGATGCCTGTGAGTTGCCTGTTCATACCTCAGAAATGCATGCTGACTCCTTTGTGATGGTGCACGGTAGCCCAGGCCATCTGGGGACCCGTGATTTTGGACAAGTAGAATCCCCAGCATACAGACAGACAGGGTTTGTTATGGGTGGTTGAGCCCAGAGGCTGCCTGCCTAATTAGAGAAAGTAATTTTCGGTCTTGCCTACCCAGGCAAAAGTGCATGTGGACACATGTGTTTGTACCCAGCTTTTTGGCTTCTCTGTCCAGCAGAATCCTTAGAATTTGAGACTGTATTCCATGTTCTCTGGTGGGTACCACACATACATCCAGACCTTGGACCTGTAGGTGTTCCTTCCAGCCCTGCAGTATGTGTCTGGGTCTTTTCTTTCCAGGAGAAGCACTCTGAAACCCCAGGCTGGTTTCATCTGGCATCAGATCTCCTGTTCATAAGGACCATGGAAACATGTGGAAGTCCTGGGAGGAGCCATTTATGCTAATGTGGGTGGCCAAGGCATTAGGCCTATGCTTTAAGTTCTTTATGCATGAGGTAGTAGAGACCTCTGCTCTTGCAGGGGTCCCATCCTCCAGCCCACATTCAACATCACCCAGTGCCCCAGACACACACACACACAGACTGAGATGGTCACAGGCTGCTTAGAGCCCTGTTAGATTCTTATTTTATCTTGCCCATGGTTGTGGCTACTGAGAAAATGTATATAGCTCTAACGTTATTTTTAAAGCATTTTGTATATATTATGTGGTGCTCACAATGACCCTGAGAATGGGGAAATTCTGCTAGGCTGATTTGGAGAACCTAAGTTTCTTTTTTTTTTTTTTGAGTTGGAGTCTCACCTC